AGAACAATAGTCTATATCACGAACTACATGTTGTTATTTTTAATATACTGCAACTTGTAACGCAGTAATAAAACTACAGTTAAATTATTTTCCTTTAATATAAATTGATAATCAAATCTGAAATTAATTATGTTTCTTTTTTCCGACAGAAAATTTTTATTGCGAGAAATATCATTTCAGCCAAAAATTAGCTTTTCGTTTATTTTTCGGGCAGATGTTTTATCACTAAGGCATATCTATTTTATTTTAAATACAATAAATGTAATAATTGAATTATAAAAAAAATAGGTCTTGGAGAATGATAACGATGCTGATTATAAGTTTGTTCGTTTCAATTATACACGGAAATAATGGTTTAGTTGAAGCATTGAAAAATTTAACTAGATACAGATCGGAAAATAATTTTGGATTAAAATTATTATGTAAAATGCTTAAACATTTTTTCTGTGTAAATTTGTTTTTTCTGCATTTAAATTAACTTAATGCTACATGGAAGAAACAGTTTCGCTGGCAAATCTAAAAATTTGATCAAATACAGATCTGAAGATAATTTTATTGAGTCTTTAAAAGCGCAATTGTTTCATTAGATTAAATTACCATGTCTTATAATATCCATCATAAGTGTCGTTTTAACTCGATTTTATATCTAAAATTGCATTATATGAGAAAAATAAAAAAGAGAAAAATATGAATAAAATAGTTTCAAGAAGCTACGAAAATTTAAAATAATCTAATATTATAATATATTTATTATTAGTTGAACTACACAATTTGCAAAAAAAAGAATTATAAGAATTTTATTTGGATTTGAAATCTGTTTTTAGCTGACTTTATATAAAAAAAGCCACAAATATATTTTTTATATTTTACATAGAAAAAAGTCATAAATATATGTATTTTTATTTCTTTAAATCATCTAAACAGATCATATTTTTATTAATAAAATGCAATCTTTAATTTCTGAGAAATAAGCAAACTTTATGTCACTCACTATCGGCGACTTTTCTCAACTATTATCATATTTAAACGTTTTATATAATTTTGATGGTCCAACAAAATTATTTTGTATTTTTATATTTGATCAAAATTATTTTATATTTGATTTTTATATTTGTATCTGGTTAAATTTTTAGATTTTCAACAAAGCTGTTCTTCTTTTCGTGTAGTTGAAAAAAGACAAAAATTAAAAAAGATATTATTGTTCATCATAATATTTTAATATATTTATATATATTTATATATGTTATTTATATGTTATTTGTATATTAGTATATTTATTTATTTATTAGTATATTTGTATATTAGTATATTGTATATTTAGACATTAATTGTTGTTATTTTTATAACATTAGATGTCATTTTGAGAAATAATGACAAATGATGACAATAGCTTGCTGCTTGGGCAGTCTGATCTTAACCAATGCCATCAGGGAATGCCAGAATGAGTCTCACCGAAGAAGAAGGGGAATTACATACAAAGAAGAAACACGTACGTGTTCTTTCGTGTAATTCTTCTTCTATCTGATCCTTGGTGAATCTTCTACCTGATCCTTCTACAAGATCCTATTCTGACACAATGCTGTATACCTAGCCATATGCCTAGCATCCGCCTAATGCACAATCTTTTCCTCTATGGAAGCGGTCCTCTATTATTAGAAATACTCGAAGTCTTTTGATTGGTGAAGTTGATGTATTCTTTGTTCCGATTGGTCGAACAAACGACATGAAATATTTATCCTCTTATTGGTGTCGCAGTCAAAGTTTGCCATTTTGTTATTAATTACGGACATTCCGAAAACCGTTCTTTCGAAAAAAGCGTGCTTTGGATTATAAAATATCACAATTCCTTAGTATTTTCGGTTAGAATTTTCATAATTTTTTCCATAATTTGCATCATGGAGATCCATGGACGAACTGCTGAGAAGCATTTCAACAGTCACGCCATTTTAAGTGTTCCCATTTTAACTTTTATGGGATTGCGGGGCGTCTTTTCCTCTTCTTAGTATTTTAAAATAAAGAATTTTAGAGAATAAATATTCTTTATTACATATTTTTTACGTAAATAATCTCATAAATTTTATATACCGCTTTTGACTCTCGAATCCGGACCAGAAATGATGGAACCATATGTACAGAAAACGATGTTTGAATTCAAAATTTTAAAAGAGAAATGATTGACGCTTATTTTTAACGGCAAGATAGATCACGTAATCGAAATTGACGGAATAACAAAACTTGAAATTGATCACTTTTGATTAAATATTTCGATTGAATCTAAAATTGAATATAGCAGCATGATGAACTCTAAGAATTCGGAATTCAAGCGCGGAATTAATCGTTTCTCTAAAATTGACAGATGATTCCATTTTATTAAAGCCTGCTTGCTGAAATTTTTATACTATGTATAATAACACAAAAAATTGCGTTGTGAATCGCATTTTATTTTATCATTCCGATATTAATTCATATGTTCTTTAATTTCAAATTGTAAATTCTACTTGATTCTCTCATATGTATTTTACATAACATTTAATATTCAATATAAAACCTGAAATTTTTTATTTTAAACAGAACGATGAAACAAGGCTTGCTTTTCTCAACTGAATTTTTTATACAATTCATCTTCCTTCGTTTTTTCCATCATAACAAAAGAGGCAAAAATAAAAAAAATTTTTTAAATTCTTGGGAAAGAAATTTTTCTCTAAGAGAGGAAAATTCCTCTAAGAGTGAAATGTCAAATATCTCTTAGCGATCGTAAAAGTTGCGACATTCCGATAGGAATAAATTTTTACTTCAAGAAAGGAGTAAAGCAGTTATTTCATAATTAGAGTGAATTTTTTATCCTTGAGAGTGAAGAATCACTCTAAACAAGATTCAATCTAATGTGGAGTAAATAATTTCACTCTCTTAAAAGGAGTGAAATAATTCATTTTTATAAGATTTGATTAAACATTATATTATATATATGAAATAAAATAAGTTTAATACATTTGAAATACAATAAAATTTATTTAAACTCATACAAACAACTATTTATACTATAATATAAACTATATATAAACATGTATATAAAATTTTTTTATTTTTATATTAGCTTAATCATCTATTTTTAATTTATCAGAATCGTCTGACGATGAGCTTTTATTGTCTTTGTCACTATTTTTACGATAGTTAGCATATTCACTGAAAAAATTTTCTTAATTTATACATGTACATATATAGTTAGGTTAATTATTATATATAAATATTTTATCGTATATCTTCTAATTGCTTTTCTATTCATATAGAAAAAGTCGACTTCAACAACGTGGAGTCATCTTCTGTCAATTTTACAATTTAAGGTAACTAGGTACACTGCTTTATCGATATCAATTGTTTAAAGATAAAGATGTGATCTTTTTTGCTTTGTAAAAGCATCAATGAGGTACTGTTAACATGATTCATGGGTAAATTTTCGTGACTGCTAAGCGGATCCGGGGATAATTGAGGAATAATGTTATCCTCCCTTTATTATCCTCAGTATAGTCAAAACGGTCGGTAATATCATTATTCTTCAGGTATCCCCGGAGCCGCTAGCAGTCACAAAAATTTTCCTATGGCCGACCGTCTTTAACAATACCTCGTTGGTGCCTACGCGATAAAGTTAGGGCCTGCGCACAATAGAGCAAATATTAGGAACAGAAATAAATATTAAATTTTTGGAAATAAAAATTCGAAATAAAAATTAAATACAACGCAAAATATAGTCATATCTTATACTTACTTGTATTTATTGTGCGTTTAATTTTTATTCTGAATTTTTATTTCTAAAATTTAATATTTAGTCTTATTCCTAATATTTTCTCCATTGTGCGCAGGGCCTTAGGGTACTATCCATGAGTACGGAAAACGGAATACAGTCATCGGTATTTAAAGATAAAGATGTAATCTTTTTTTTTGTAAAAGCATCAAGTTATAATGATATTAATTATATACATATTTAATAACTAATTAAATTAATAATTAAGTTAATAATTAATAAATTTTATATTTTAGTATAAAAGTTAAACACATTTTAAAATTAAATAAACAAGCCTTAAGATTAAACGAAGTTAGGTAAATTAGTTTATATGTTTAGAAGTAGATTTTTAAATGTAAAAGCAATTTACATATTATTGTTTGAAGTAATATATCAAACTCAGTTAAATGTCTATAAATAATATCGCGCGCGTGGGATGTACACATAAAAATTTAAATTACATGTAAAAGGAAATGTAACGCGCGCCATCTTCGATAATCAATACGAAATTTTGATGGTTGCTTCCGGTTTCGTGAACATTCGTTCTCCTCTCTGCCTTTCGTTGACAAGCTTTACGGCAAGATGGTGAGTGCTGTGTGAATCCTTTTCAAATCCAATTTTCTCGTTGGAATCCTGCATTGATATGTCTCAAACGCTCGAATAAGATGACAAATTTGACAACGCTAAAATTATTTTGGAAATATTTCACGTAGCTCGCGAGAAAAATTGGCGGAGCGATGTTTGCAGGTTAGACGCGTCCCGTTGGGCCTCTAACCTCTGCACGTCACAGACGAACTTCATGGCTTTAATTTTTTTAATCGATCATGCCGATTATGTACAATTTTTCGCAATAATTGCAAAGATTATATCTTAGATCTGTATCTTCCATTTAACTGGTCTGATTAAAATTCGTTCGTGGATTATTTCACATGTCGCGATCGAGGTTAGCTTTGTACGTAACATAACCTCAACGTTATTTTGTTTTCCAGTCGCTCGTAATTCCCGAGAAGTTCCAGCACATTCTTCGTGTCATGGGTACGAACATCGACGGTAACAGGAAGGTCATGTTCGCCATGACGGCTATCAAGGGTGTTGGCCGACGTTACGCCAACATCGTCCTGAAGAAGGCGGATATTGATTTGGACAAGCGAGCTGGAGAATGCTCAGAGGAGGAAGTAAGTTCTTTATCTTTTTATATTCTAACGCAGATGATAGGACGGTTTCTGATGTACCGAATGTACTTTTAGGTTGAAAAAATCGTCACTATTATGGCCAATCCTAGGCAGTACAAAATTCCCGACTGGTTCCTCAACAGACAGAAGGATATCGTGGATGGAAAGTACTCACAGGTATGCATTTGCATCATCTGCATTTTGCAACAAAAGTGATCGAGTTCAGAAATATATTTTATTGTCGAAAAATGTAAAGTCATACACTTGGTGAAATTCTTATACATGTAATTATAGAATTGAACAATATTTCAATTGGCATAAGGATGTAGATATAAAGATATAGCGATGATTTATAAGAATTGTTTATCTTTTTGATATACCGTACAAACTCCACCGCACAAATTCACGACTGATCGTGCATGCATCCATTGTACGCTCAGCTGGTAGCTTGTGCAATAGCGACTGCACTGCTGTACATTTCCATTGCTTTATAGTTTTTTCTACTATTAAGTAACAGGTACGAGTGCAACAAAGATAGAATTATTTACATACATGCATTTACGCAACTGTTAACAAAGTCGCGAGACCTCTCTAAAACTTGGTGTGTGATCATTTTGCAGCTCACGAGTGCTAATTTGGACTCTAAACTGCGCGAGGATCTAGAAAGAATGAAGAAGATCCGCGCTCACAGAGGTCTGCGTCACTACTGGGGTCTCCGTGTACGTGGTCAACACACCAAGACCACTGGTCGTCGCGGACGCACGGTCGGTGTGTCGAAAAAGAAGTAATCTTTTATACATACACTATACTATGTACTATTAATAATACATCTTTAAACAACCTTGAACATTTTTATTCGATCGCCATTTCATTAATTCGTGAGAAGAGAAACGATCGCGAGGCACAATGCTGAATAATTTCATTTCATGTTGCATATGCTTCAATCATAGATCAGTGATTTATTTAAATCGGGAATATATTAATCTCTTGATCCTGAAATAACGAATCATCTTTCAAGCCAAGAAAGATAGCAATTCCGATTAATTCAAGCCGAAAGAAAGAACTTAGCGAGAGAGGAGTGCGCTAAATTGACTCTAGAAATACAATTGACAATAAACGACAGTTTCTAAGTGTCTCAGTGACGTGTAATAAGCGTTTCCAAGTATACTTTGGGCACCTTTCCTCGTTGATTGCCCCTGATTCCCATGAAGTAATCTTCGTCGTCGGGAATCTCATAAATATTGATTACCTAGAAAAAACACACACGTCTCTTTCTCCCTCTTTCTCAAAATATATTCAATTTATTAAAGTATAATTTTGTACACGTATACACAATCTAATTAATACATGGTATTGATTATAATATACAGGCACGCGTTATATAGAGCGCCACTATAGATACACATTGAGATGTAAGCGTACAGAACGATACATGAAAAGTCTACGATAGTCGTGACACAGTAAATAAATAAAATGCTCGTAACTAAGTAAAACTGTAGGCGTTTATTGATAATACATGCACAATTCGAATAAATATACATAATAGCTCGCACAAGTTCGCGATTCGATTTAATTCGCGGTAGACGTGTTATCTTACAAATCTGTAAACGTGTGATAAAGGTGTAATATGCGTGACAATAACGATACATCGATTAAAAAAGGAAATTAAGAAGGAAGCGTACATAAGTCTAAACAAATTACGATAGCATGTTTATCATGCATATAATACAACTCGATGTGTGTTATATTGGAGTGTAATATAACTATTATCTTCTGTAAATATAAACAAGCTCTTCCATTTGAATTAATCGATATTTCGTATTATAATTTATAATTAATAAGATGGAAATTAATTTTTTTAGAAGATCACGCTCATTAATATTCGAAACTTTGTAGAACAACTTATGCATTACTAATGCTGCGCTATTACTGTCCTTGTTTTTCATATGTATTCACTTTTTTTAATCACTTTTGCATTAAAATTAATATATTAGGAATATCGTAAATTTCAAAAAATTTTTTGTTCTTTTGAGAATGCAAGTTTTCAAGCTCTTCTTCAAAAACAGCATCTAACATCTTGCAAGTTAATAATAGCTACTTGAAAATAAATGCACCAGTACAATATTGTTACTGTTAACAGAGAGCTCTTAAAGTTATACAGATGTAAACGTCTCGGATTAAAACGTATAACTTATACCATAACAAATACTTAACTCTCTATAACACGTATTAAAAGAACATCTCGGGGGCAGTGCCCTTAATCCTTTCGGGACTTAATCCCTCTGAATCCGAATTCTTTTTCTCAGTGCACAGGCCGAGAATCGAAAGATCGATGACGATCCCGAAAGATTTAAGTCTAAAACGAATCTCTCACACGGATGAGATACAAAAGAAAGTCTCTCTCTCTACATTATATATTTATACAGAGCTTGTGAATAAAAAAAAAAAAACTGAAGAGAAGAAAGACTATAAGTAGTGAGCTTACATTACCGTAACTTAACCCGACTACAGATTCATGCCCTTCACTCGATCATTACATCGCCAAACATGCGGCCGCGTACCTAGATTACAAACTTCGTTACCTCATCCTGCATGACGCTTAGCTCGCTAGGATCCCTCGCGTCGTAATTGCACAACACTCTCGCTCTATCCTGACCGTTCTCGGCTAGTGCGTTGGTGGTGGCTGGTGGGGTGGTGTAATAGGAACCCCCAGATAGTCTGGGTAGGTAAATGACAAGTGAGTTATAGTGCTGTAATCTTATGTATAATAAAACTCGTGTATGAGGGATGAAATTATCGTATGAAGGAAGGAGGAGAAGCATAACCGAACTTGTAAGCGACTTTTAACGAAGATCGTAATGCGATATAACGCAAATAGACATCAAACGATTTAATGTTTAGGCACACTCTCATCGCCAAGCTCTACTGCAACTCGTTACCTGACAGCGAGCGGAATAATAAGTATTTGGTGGATTGAGTCAGTAGACATATGATTCAAAGAGATGTTGAATTTTGTATAATTTTTTATTGGGGAGAAATTAATCTAGTTAGCATGTATGTATATGTCTTCAAGTCTACCGGCTCGATTACATGCATTAGTGTTACGCGATTCACCCCGATGTTAGTTTCTGACGTCGCGGGAGGAATGAAAACTTAAGACTGTTCTTTTTAGCTGAACTGCTTGCATGATCTATTTTTCCTTTTTTTCCTTCAACAAAGAAAAAAAACAGGAAAGATGGAAATCATGAAAGAGCTAAAAAGATACATCTTTGATCTCTCCCTCACAGAGTACATAGGCAAATTATTATTGATAGAATTTAACGGCATCCTAGGATAAAAAGATATGTATCTACACTTATGTCGTTGTTTAGTTACATGGTGTTGTTATAGCATCGAGGATTAGTTCCTCTTTGATGCCATTATAGCCATTCTCGACCGAGTTACGGCGATCCAAGCATTTGTTTTCAACAGGCAATACAAAAACAATAAGAAGAATAGAAGAAGAACAAGGAGATAAGAAGATAAGAGATAAAGGTAAAATTAGACCGCACTGATCGCCGTAAATCGTTCACAAAGGAGTTTATCGAAAGAGAAATGCTCTTCGTCCATGTCTACCTCTAAATTTACAATTCTAACTGCATGTACAATTATACAACGTTATAGAGTATTTATTTGATGTAACAAGTAACAATTAAGTGACGGTTGATCAAGCTTTTTTTAACACGTACGTGGGGGTAATCTGAATAAATTGAGAAGGGAAAAATTACGTGTGATTGTAGATCCGTCAATTGAACTGCCAACTCGATCCGAAATTCATGACAATCCGATCGCGTTCGGAGAGTTGAAAACTAAATTTTACTGATGTCAGTGTCGAACGTGGCGGTAACATAATCAGCAGATCCGGCGGTTACGGTTGAATTTTGAGGGACAGTGGACGGGGGGTTTAGCTCGATCACTTCCTCGCTGTTGACTCTCAGCAAAGGGCTCGGTTGTCGCGCCCTGCAATTACCAATCGTGCAAGCAGAGATAGAAAGTGAGAGCGGGAGAGGGGGGCACGCTCGAATGGATCGCACGGAGGGCCGGCAGAAAGTTGGGGGATAATCAGGGTAGATGACGAAAAAACAAATCTGCGTCTACGAGTGCTACGATTTACATTTGTTACAAAGCTTAGGATGGGCTATAATACGGAAGCAATAAAGTCTGAGCATGTCGGCATTAGATCTGGTATAACCGATCATTCGGCTGGTTTCACTTCGAGGTCGAGTCACATCGAAACTTTAATTCCATTATCCGTCGATTAAAGATTCGAGTTAATCGGCGTCGGTCGACCGTAACAGGTAATGTTCGTCAAACCACAAAATATGTCATATCTTAACGAGATCTTAATCTCTCGTGAAAAAAATTTGTCTTCCAAATCTATGCCCGCGATTGCTACGAGGAGGAAGCGGAGCTCACGGATCGATATTCAAAAACAGTCATTACCATTCAAGGTTTGTCAAACATTACTCACTCGGATCACCATAAAGTGGGATAGCTGTACAAAAACGTTGCGATAACAATACACTGCACTGGACGATAACGTGCAGAAAATACAGACGAGTAGAATAAGTAGATAGAATACTCTGAGAGAGAGAGAGAGAAAAGGGAAAGAAAAGGAAGTCAAAAGAGCAACGACAATGAACTTACCCGGCAAGTTCGCGCTGTAGATCCTGCATGACGGCATGGCATTGCGCGTAATGACGTGCCTGCGCTTCCACGAATTCGTGCAGGCACCGCAAATGTCCAGCTTGCGAGCTTGAAACACCCTCTAACAGCAATTTCACGATTTCCGCTTGTCGATCAAACTCCGATTGCGTCGTCCTTAGCTCCCTCTCTGCCTGAGTGAGCAATGTGTACATTTTATTTATTGCGTGTACTATTTAAAGTAACAAGCCAGAAAACGATCGTAATCGCGAGACATAGCTATCTCTATTTCCGTTTATCGCGAAAGACAATTTTTTACTTCACGATTATTTTTATATTCACATACGTGATAAGAATATTTTAATTATTATCAAGCGTGACAAGAGTAAAGCCACTTGAATGTCTGTAAAAATGTCAGTGTGTATTCCTAGATTAGCAATGAATTTTTTCTGATTACGGCTGCATACGACATGGATCTCTCGGAATCGAGAAAGCAAGCGAAACTATCGATAGCATCAATACCTGATCGAGCATTACTTCGGGTGATATGCCGGACTCCTATAAATCGCAGCAGTGTGGAGGACAGAACACATCGTAAACATACAGAAAGACATTTTTCAACGAATCAACAATTAACTGTACTTACACTCTGTTGGCCCAGCATGCTCCTCGCTTTTCTTACTCTATTTTTACACGCGTCCAGATCCAATCTGCGAAGGATTGTTTTCAACATTAGTAATTGGATCCTTTTCGGATAAAACAAGTATAAACAAAACAATCATGTTACCTCTTAGTTTCCAATATCGCCATCTCCTTACTAACAGTCTTCATCTCTCCATCCAAAAATTTCCTCAGAGGCTGTATATAACAATTGGCGGCAGTTCCTATAAAGTCCCTTTCGATCTGTCCCAATTTCTGCTGGCACTGGCCGACTTTTATTAACGCGCTACCTAAAATCAATTATCTCTTTGTACTCTATTCTCAATGTCATATTATCATACATCTTGGAATTTCTTCGGCACTAACCATAGGCTATTCCTGGACCGAAATCATTTCCAGCTTCTATCATGTCGGTGCCTACATATTCCAAATTGCTCAACCTATTAGGCTTCTTCTTATCGATCTTTTCATAAAAGAAGTCTTCGATCCTGTTACCTATAAGAATATACATCATTGTTAACAAAAACATGTATTAGCAGTTTCTATACAGTAAAATACATAATAACAAAGGTGTCAACAACTCATTGACATTTCATGAGATTCCTATCAACGTTTTGAATTCAAATAAAGTTGTGTACCAGGATTTGGAGTGAGCACAGCTTCCATATCTCGTAGTATCTTCTCCGTCCACGTTTTTGTGGCATTCCCCCTCTCCACTAGGTGCTCCAAGTGCGCATCTAATTCTGTCTTTTCTGAAGTACCCAGCGTCTCCTCCGTCTTCTAAAGAATGCGCGCGACGGTTCCACATTAAACTTTCTGAATTTTCAACGTTTTCAGATATTTATGCTAAAGCCAACGAACAAACGCAAGTCTATATAGTACAAGGTCGAGCTCAAAGTCCGCCCCAACCATCGTCCCCAAGAAAAACATGACGCATCGTTCGATCGACGAAGGAGCGTCATTAGTGTCGGCCGATGAGGCGACATTTAATCCAGGTCGAGATTTGGGTTAAACAAAAACGTCAGTTTTCCATAGAAGATTCGAGAAAAAGCCGAGGAAGTCGTCTGATAATGCAGGACGCTCGACCGTCACCACCAAACACCGAATGTCAACGGTGACAGTCGTTGAGTTCGAACGCGTTCGACGTTTCCTCGTTGCGTTTTTCCTCTTAGGAGAAAAGAGAAAAAAAACTTTTCCTTACCTGCACGACCCTACTGAGGGCGGCCCCCGCATCCTTCATCAGCCTCTTCACGTTGAAATCCATCCTCGCGACTTAGATCTCTCGCGAAATCGAAACTACTTCTCAGCGAGAACACCCAACCTCTCTCTGTCTCGCCTTGTCTTTCTCTCTCTCTCTCTCTCTCTCCCCCTCCCGCCCCTTCGTCTCTGTCTCCCACGCTCCCGTGCTTCGTCGTAGGATTCATTAAATGCCTCGACACTTCCGGAAATCTAAGCGTTTTCGGTCGGGAGTGTCCTGTCTAGCTATTCGTACCTCATGACCGTCGATTGAAATGCAAAACTATATTTTTTTTTTTATTGATCTATCCAGACTTGTTATTTATCCTTTCTTCAAGAATACCGTTGCATGATTCAGATCGTATCATTCACATATAAAAATTTCTATTCATTTTCGAAATTTTGCTACTCGATTTATTTACTATTTACGCAATACTTTTTCGATTGCGGATAAAATTATATCGCATCGGCGACATTCTTTTTTTTCTTTTTTATTAAACATTTGCGAGGCGACTGTAATTTTCGGGATTTCACAAAACCACTTAAGCGCCCGACTGCACTGCTCGTGTGCTGCTTTATTGAGTTCCATTAACAAAAATGCAAACATCCTCCTTCGTCTCGTTCCTTCGCAGAGGAAAAAAAATTCGATGAGCTACCGTACGTAACATCGCTATGTGTTCGCGCGTTTCTAATTCCTATCCGACTAACGATTAACGCTGTCCGGTGTTCGCGCTCAAAATCGAGATCCCTTGAGAACGTTACCGCACCTAACGCATTAATTCTGAAAAAATAGAAAGACTGATATGACTGATTCCAACGATTTTCAGGCAGTAATCTTGCAAATGACGGCGACCCGACAACGGACGGGCGAGGAAGAATTCAATCTTTAACAATGTCATTTCGATTCTCACTGAATCTTATTAATTCAGCAGCTTCCATAATGATCAGTCAAGCATGCATTTCGAATTAAACTACCTTAATCTTCTTCCCATGTCCCTCGAGAACTGAATATCTTACACAAAGTATGACGTGGACATATATCGGATGAATGTCTCGCTGAAATTTTGATGAACACCGAAGAAACGTTTTACAGTACGCCGGTGAAGTTTCTGGATCGACTTTGCAATTCTTCACCTCGCAGCTGACTAATCGTCGTCCGACTCGTTCCCGAGCCCCGCTCGATTAAGCATCAACTGTGTGCGTCCCACCGTTAACTTCGCTCTTAATTTAATTAGATGTCGAGAACACAGGGAGAGAATCTGGCACACATATGCGGCACGTGCCTCTCGGGATTTTTAAAAGTGAGTGTAACTCGCTGGGAATTCGATGCCAAGGTTGGCGATGCCAAGATCAAACGCGTTTGATCTTGGCGATGCCAACAGCCTGTTCTACTTCACATGGCAGTCGTAGTCGTTATCTTCTTCCCGGCAATGTCCTTCTAATCACGAATATTTTAATCATTTTTCGATAAAAACGCTTAACATTATCATATCGATACTATAAGATGACAGTAATTATCTCAATAATGGTAATGCTGGATGATGCTAGATGATGATAATGATGCTGATGATGATGATGATGATGATGATGATGATGATGATGATGATGACGATGACCATCGTTTTGTAATCGTTTTTCATGTCCTTATTTTGAAATTTTCGAAACCAATGAAACCATCTTTAATAATCGGATCAAATGCTCCCCGCGTTAAAAACCTCCGAACGCGGTCGATCGCAGGAATGTTTAACATCACGAATCGTTCGTAATCAAGGCATTTATTATCGGCCGCTACTGGCCGGCCGTGATTGGTTGTCAATGCGACCTGCCGATCGCCGACAGCTTCCTCGCTCGTGCCCGTGCCTCCGTACGAATGTTCGTGTATTCGAACCACAAGACATTGGGAATTAGCGTCGTATCGCGCAGCAACAAGTACTCCGATATTCGCCTGAGGGAAAGCAGAGATTAGAGAGAGAGAGAATCAAATAAAACTGATATATCATCGTTATTGCATTAATTTTCCTAGATTACCTACCACGAAACCACCACGGGGAAGAGTGGTGTCAGAATCGTGTGCATAATTGCGAACCACGCTGTTCCCAGCGCGATTCCAATTAACAAACCGCAGAGTACTTGATTATAGGAGTGATACAATAGGTACACCCTGCTGTAAGTTACAAATATGGCTGTGACGATGCATCCTATCGCTACTATTGTCCGCCAAAATCTCTCGACTACCGTACAGTTGTAATTTAACCTGGAAAAGAACGCGCATTTAAATGCCCAATTCTATCAATGTTTTAATTAATCTTAATCTTAATTTTAATTAATTTGCTTTTAATCTCAGTTTAACTTATTCTTTATCTTTTTCTAATCCTCAAAACTAAAAAATAATAAAAAAAGATGAATTAAATCAAGATTACAGTCAATCTGATTCATTCAATATTGATAGAAATAAATGCAAGTCAACACTTACCTAACGTATATAAAAAGTGTTGCGTATGCAGCGAAAAACCACATAAATTGTGCGTGAGTAGATGGCATGCCGTATTCGGCATACATGCCATCTCTCTTCATTGGCCTTGATTGGCGGATTGTATGTTTTAATACATAATTTATACATTCATTAATGGCGATTCCAGTAAAAAACACGATCTGTAATGAAAAGATAAGTTATACTCTTACGAATCATAAATAAGAGACTTGTTTTTTATTGCTGTAATAAAGCTTTCTTGCTTTTTTATCAAAGTCCAAAAAAACAGGGGAGCTCGAGCCACGCTTGATGCAATCTCTCCTGTCATGCTTCAGAAGGATTATTTGTATATTTGCCAATATATTTGGCGTTGGAGGGTGTCGCCGCTGCAGTCCGACCTGCATCCATCGAGAGAATAGGACCATCATCTCTCTGGAGTACCGGTCGTGGGGATTTGAGAGAATACATGTATAATACATGTATATATAATACGTATATTGTAATATACGTATATCATTGTATTGTTGACGTGTTATTCTAAACACATTATTTGCGATAAATATCATCACATTTTTTTATATTCCAAATAATAAGAGAGGGTGTGCATCACGGCTCGATCACGAACCAGTCGTGAAGACTCGTAATTATTTTGCGAAAAAATGCCACCTCAGGAATCGAACCTGGATCTCCTGCTTACTGGACAGGCATCTTATCTCTTCGACTACCGAGGCATATGATGATATTTATCGCAAATAACGTGTTTAGAATAACACGTTAACAATAAAATGATACACATATATACGTATATACAATATACATATATACATGTATTCTCTCGAATCCCCACGACTGGTACTCCAGAGAGATGATGGTCCTATTCTCTTAATGGATGCAGGTCGGATTGTAGTGGCGACATCCTCCAACGCCATTGACAAATATACAAATAATCCTCCTGGAGCACGAGAAATTGCATCAAGCATGGCTCGAGCTCCTGACACACACACACACACACACACACACACACACACACACACACACACACACACACACACACACACACACACACACACACTAACAAAAATTTGAAATATATCTTTTACATTACAATATATATTGTAATAATAATTAACATCTTTATATTACTCTTATGTACTGGTCATTGATAATGAAAAAAGATGCCCCAATTATCATCTCATGTTCAAAAATTATTAAGCTGGACTTGTTTCCATAGTCTAATATTAATAATATTACATTCATCAATATTACATCTTCAAAGCGATGTCGAGAATTAAGTTTCAATCATACCGTTCAATCGATTTAATAGAAATTGAATTGACGTCTCATTAATGAAGAAAAGTGTCTTTGCCGGTAGAGAACTACGCGCGAGAGAACGATTCCTTCTCGGGAGGATCGAATCAATTTGTCGACAACCAAGGATACGTCGAAGCACATATTTACGCGAGATTATCTCCATGGCTTGCTTTTTCACTGTTGGCGAGGGCAAAAAGGTGCCGTTGGTGGTTGCTGACGGAAAGAAAGTGACGGCGACGGAAGGAGGGCAGCACAGAACGCAAGCGTGGGGAGAAGAAGAGCACGCGAGATGAGCTGGGCGGAGCGGCGTTGCACTCCAAACAAATAATCTAGGACGTCTCAATCCTGTCAAGCGGCGGACGTCGTCTCCTCCTCCTTCACCCTCGTTTCCTCTTTCTCGTTCCTCGCGTCTTTCTTCCTCTGCCGACGATGACCTAGGCGATCCTGGTGTATGTACCGTCACGACGATTGCGAATGGATCGACGAAAGCCCGAAATCGTCGTAAATTATTGTGCCGCGGACATGTGGCGTTTAGTCCGGTGTAATTGATTGCCCGTACTTAGGAGGACCGGCCGAGAGGGTCGGGGACCACGGGATATAACCTCGGGGCATAAATTATAATTGAATTAGCCTGAGTTCTTAATTAGACCGCTGGAGCGAGGACTCGCTCTCTCTTTACAGCTCCATGCCGCGCGTCGTTCCCTCCTCGCCGCATCTCTCCTCCCGCTGCCTTGCCTCGATAACGCTCTTCGTTCCTCGCGCTTTGTCCATGTCGTCGTCCGCTTCACCTCTGTCACCGTTCGCCTCCCGCGAGATAATTTACAACGGGGGCGTCGCTATTGCATGTCTGATGTGCGCGCGTCTCTTTCTCCGTATCTTTTCGTTTTTGTTTCTTCCGATTCTTTCTACGGCGCCGAACTCGGCATTGGTGGCGGCGCGAGAATCCTTTGTGCAAAATGATCGTCCAGAATATTTACGCTCCCAGAATCCTTTTCCCGGTGCTCGGCTTCGTCCGGCTTCTCCAATCGCCAGGGCAAAAGGCGGTAGCGGCGGCGGCGGCGACGGCGGCGGCGGCGGCGGCGGCAGTGGCTGCTGAAGAGATTGCTATTGCAGCTATTGTTTTCCTTCCCGCCGAGTGCCCAGCTCGTTCGTACTTTACGAGCAGAACTCACTCACGCTAGACTGTAATGAATTACGAGCGATATCTACGAAAGAGAGCTAAGGTCGACGAAGTGAGAAGCTTGATAAAGTGACATATTGAAAGAGAAGAATGACAATCGATATAAAAGAAAAAAATACACTAATCTATATACGGATAATATTTCCAAATCGATTTAGATTGTAAAATGTAAAATAAAATAATTAAGTTTGATAAAAGAATCTACGAGAAGCAGAAGAATCCTAAATTCTTTATATATATATATAT